GTTCCTGGGGCTGGAACCTGAGGAGGCTGCGAGGATGGAGAGGATGTCCCTTTGGGGGCTGTTGCGCCCGAGGCCCCTCAAGAGCACCTCTCGGGGATGCTGCGCTCTATGCAAATGCGTAATTTGCCTAAAGGTTCAACCACCCTTGAATGGTGGTTAATGGCAATACTGCTCCAGTTCCTGGAGCTCAGATCCCTTCCACACAGCTGAATAAAATCCCACATTCTCTGTTTTGAACTGGAATATATGGCAGTGTGGACTCAGATAACCCAGTTCAAAGCAGATATTGTGGAATTTTCCACCTTGATTTTGTGGGTTATATGGCAGTGTGGAAGGGTGTGGAAGGGTGTACAGGAGTAAGGCGAACAAGCAAGAGAAACAGGCATGTTTTGTGTGGTGGAAGGGACAGCACAAAGTGAGATTGTGTGTCTTGAGGTAACCTCTCAAGTAGAGTCATTTGGGAGAATTTGTTGAGCTACATTTGTAGTGCCTTTTGGGAGAAGGCTGTTTGTTTGTGTTAGTTGAGTGGAAGTGTATCACCCCCCCCCCCCCCCCGAATGATATGCACACAAAGAAGCTAGTAAAATATAGACTAGGCGATATTATTGTTAGGTGGACTGTAGATTGGTTAAATTACCAAACCCAAAGGGTGCTTCCTAATGGCTCCTTTTCATCCTGGAGAGAAGGCATGTTTTTCAAACTTGTGGATAACACCAAATTGGGAGGGATAGCTAATACCCCAGAAGACAGGAACAGAATTCAAAACAATCTTAACAAATTAGAGAGTTGGTTCAAAATTAACAACAGGGACACTTAGGCAGAAAAAATGAAATGCAAAGATACAGAATGGGGAACGCCTGGCTTGACAGCAGTACATGTGAAAAATATCTTGGAGTCTTTGGGGACTCAATGTCATGAGGTGACAAAAAAGCCAATGGGATTTTGGCCTGTATAAATAGGAGTATAGTGTCTAGATCCAGGGAAGTCATGCTCTCCTTCTATTCTTTTCTGCCTTTGTCAGACCATACATGGAATACTGTGTCCAATTCTGGGCACCACAATTGAAGGAAGATGTTAACAAGCTGGAATTTTGAGATATATTTATTATTTTTATTACGAACACTTTTACCCGACCCTTCTCAACCCCTAGGGGGACTCTGGGCACCTTCCAATTGGCAACAATTTGATACCGCACAATAGAATATAAAACAGCAATAATTATAAGAGTTAAAAGCATAAAACATTAAGACATAAAACATTAAAACAATATACTTATGGTCCACTGAGCTATTACCAGTCTAGTGGTCATTTTTCTAGCCGTATGCTATGATTGAGTACTCCGCTTAACTTATCCATAATCCTTTTCCAAGCCATTGTCAACATTTTCAATTGGCCTTTCTGCCTAATTGCCTGAAGGCCTGGTCCCACATTCACGTTTTTACCTTCTTTCTAAAGGTGAGGAGGGATGATGATGACCTAATTTCCTCGGGAAGTGAATTCCACAAGTGGAGGGCTACCACTGAGAAGGCCCTGTCCTTCATCCCCTCCAAATATGTTTGAGAAAGGAGGGCCTCCCAAGAGCAGGGCCTCCCCAGAAGATCTTAAACTCTGAGGTGGGACATAGAAGGAGATACGTTTGGACAGGTATGCTGGATCGGAGCCGTAAAGAGCTTTATAAGTCAAAACCAGCACTTTGAATTGTGCTCGGAAAAGGATCGGCAGCCAGTGGAGTTGACATAACAGGGAGGTGGTATGCTCCCTGAATGACGCTCCGGTGAGTAATCTAGCTGCCGTCCGTTGGACTAATTGTATATAAAAAAATTAAGATGATTTTGCCCAAATTTTTATTTCTGTTCCAAACCCTCCCAGTGATTATTCCTAAGCTGGAATGTGTCCAGAGAAGGGCAATTTAAATGATCAAGGATCTGAAGAACAAGCCCTATGAGGAGTGGATAAAGAGCTGGGTATGTTTAGCCTGCAGAAGAACGCAATTGTCCTGCTTCTTGGCAGGGGGTTGGACTGGATGACCCACGAGGTCTCTTCCAACTCTATGATTCTATGATTCTAAGTCTGAGAGGAGACATGATGAAGGCCATGTGTACATATGTGAGGGGAAGTCATAGGGAGGAGGGAGCAAGCTTGTTTTCTGCTGCCCTGAAGGCTAGGACATGTAACAATGGCTTCAAACGAAAGGAGATTCGGTTTCTCAACACACCAGAATTTTCTCAACACCGGTTTCTCAACACATTCAGAATTCCACTTGGTTCACTGACAATATACTAAATTTTTAAAATGCCTGCTCCTTACAGTTGGCAATTAGCTCCATCCACTTTTGCTTCTCCCTGACCAGATCTGGATACAACTCTAACACAAGTTATGTTCCTATGGCAACTCAGCCAGCAAGCAGCTACAGTTTAATCTGCCCTCCAATATATATCCATTTAATAAACATTTGCAAAAAAAATCATATTATAATTAAGTAATTCATTACATTGCTTCTTCTACCTACTCGAAATTATCTGCAAGGCAAGCAAGGAATTTGTTGGACCTTGTACTCTTGGCCAAGTTTGTTTTCCAGCAAATATTGGGATAGTTGAAATCACCCATGACTACTCTATCGCTTTTTGTTCCTGTTTGGTCATCTGTTGACAGAAGGCTTTGTTGAGTTTTTCATCATGGCTCTGAGATCTGCAGTAGACACCCACAACAAGATCTTTTTGAGTTCCCTTGATTCTTATCCAGATGCTTTCAAGCTGGTTTCCCAGATTGCAGTCTTGCATCTCTTCTGCAACGTAACTGGTTTTCACATATAACACTACTCCCCTTCCTCTCCTCTTTGTTTTGTTTCTGGGAAAGATGTTATACCCCTCGATGTCTACATTCCAGTGATAGGATTCATCCCACCAGGTTTCAGTGATGCCTATGACATTGTAAGTATGGTGTGTTAAAAGTTGGAGTTCATCTTGTTTATTTCCCAGGCTCTGTGCATTAGTGTAATGTCATGTAAGCCCCTGGGACCTTCCCTTGGACTGTTTACTTGGAATTATTGTGCTCTCACTACTTGGTCCTTCTTGTGTTTGTGCAACTCTCCATTTATTTATTTATTTTATTTATTTACAGTATTTTTATTCTGCCTTTCGCAGCCCGAAGACAACTCAAGGGGGCATACAAATTGGCAACAATTTGATGCCACAGCATACATAAATACCGATTAAAAACATTTAACATAGCATAATAAAAATGCATATAACACCATTAAAACTATAATAATTGTTTAGCCTTTTGGTGGTTTTCTGAGGTTGTGGGTAAAGTACTGTTCACAAGGCTGTTGTGTGTCCTCCCGCCCCCTGAGTGGATCTAGTTTAAAGTGCTCCTGATGAGGTTTGTGAGTCTGTGAGCAAAAAGGTATTTTCCTACTTGTGTGAGATACAACAACCCATCCCTTGCCAGTAGGGCATCCTCCTGGAAAAGCAGGCCATGGTCAAGGAAGCCAATGTATTCCTCCTGAGACCATTTTCTTAGCCAGTTGTCCTGTACTATTTTATTTGCCCTTGTAGGGCTGCACCTTACAACAGGGAGGAGTTCCGAGAACTTGAGAAACATTTGTGATCTTTTGAAAAGTATGCCTAGCAGTATAATTGGTTTCTACATGAATCAACACAAGGGGGAGGGTGATGGGGCTTGAGGAGCCTGGTGAGCCTCTGAGTGACATGGTATATTTTTGATGCAGCATATTTCTCGAGCCATCTCATCAGATCTGGAAATGATGGCTTCCGTTCCTCCATTACCAAGACCCATTTCCTTTGAGGATTGCCAGGGTCCCTTTTGTGAAAGTAGTGTGTAGGTCCCCTGAAAAGTGTTCCTGTTGAAGTGGATTGTGTAGGTGTAAAGTGTTGTCCTCCTCCTCCTGGACATCCCTGGTGCTTTCGTCAAGGACAACCCATTGAGATGTGTCCAAGAGCCCATCATTCTCCTGAGTGTGTTCCTATTGCTCTAATAACACAGATATCTATAAATCAGTTGTAAATAAGCAATTGTCCTATTGTCCTATTTAAATAAGCTTCAACATTTAGCATATCTATTATTTTGTCCTCTCTAAATTTAGTAAAAACCACAGAAGTACTATTACCTTTGATTTAATGAAAGAAGCCTGAAGAAGAGAATTTTGTTCTTGAAACAAGGACACAAAAGCACCCGGGGAACCTTGTTGTGGACTCCCGAGTTGACTGAAAGCAACACGAACTGTTTCCAGTTTTGATACTCTCAAGTTTGTGGAATACAACGTGAACTTTTGTTGTAACATCATGGACATATTCTCAAATGGACTAAACACAATGTGAACTGCCTTTAAATTTGATATATTCATTGATGTATATGTCCTATGAAATTAGGTTGTAAACTGTATATATTTTGTACATTTCACTTTTGAAGTTACTTAAACTTGTACCTATGTTGAAGCTTATTTAAATAGGACAATTGCTTGTGTTCCTATTGCACCTGGTCTACAATTGGGGATGAACATTTGCATGATTGTGTAAGTGTGAATGTAATGAACCATCGTCCCAGTCAGGGCTATCCCCCGCACATTGATCAAGGACAATCTACTAAGCAGTATCTAAGTCATTGTGCTCCTCCCCAAAATGCTGCATTTCCTGATAAGGTATTAGTTGTTTAAGATTTTGGAATCTATTGTATAACTGCAGCTGAGCAGAACTATTCTGAGGAGGTTGTCTGGGCCTGTGCCTCCAAGCCTGAGGGTTGTCAACATCTGAAGTGATCTCCCCATAAACTTTCCTATCATGTTGGTGTTGGTGGAGTGTGGTTTCCATTTCTAGAATAGTGTGTTGTGCAGTGTTCAAGAACAGCTCAAATTCCTGAATGTCCTTAAGGGTCTTAATACGGTCCTCAAGTTGGTGGATGATGATGATAATAATTAGAGCAGCAGTAGATGATAATGTATGAGGTGGAGGAGATTTAACTGTTTCTGTGCTTTTTTTCAGTTTGTTGCCCAGCCAAATTGCCAGCAGCTTCTTGCCTCTCGCTGGTATGATGAGTTTCCAGGATGGAGAAGGCGCCATTGGGCTGTGAAGATGTTGACTTGTGTCATCATTGGATTCCTATTCCCAGTCTTCTCTGTCTGCTATCTGATTGCTCCCAAGAGCCCATTGGGGCTGTTTATCAGGAAGCCATTCATCAAATTTATCTGCCACACTGCATCCTACTTGACTTTCTTGTTCCTCCTGCTACTTGCATCACAGCACATCGACAGGTCAGATCTGAACATGCAGGGGCCTCCACCAACCATCGTCGAGTGGATGATATTACCGTGGGTCCTGGGTAAATGTATTAGTAAAGCAAATACAGTTGAATTGTCTAATTCTTAAGCAATTGCCTTGCTGCAGTCTGAAATAAATGTGGCACAGGGCACAAGAACAGATCAGAAACTTCCTTCCAAATAAGTTGCAAACTAGAACAGTAGTAGAAAATTCAAGTCAATGTTACAAATCAATATGTGAGAGGTGAGTGTTGTGAATAGGTAATAGGTAATTCCCCTCCATGCGGATAAATTAATGTATTTTTTTCAGCAACTGCCCAAAATATTGTGCATGGCCATATTATATGAATAGTGCTATAGAAAACATTTATTAATGGCCACAACTCTGAAACACATGTTTCATTTATATTTATTTAATTAAATGATTTGTAAGAAAAAATTGCCATTTCTCATTATGTTCATGCAACACACCTGCACATTGCTGCCACAACATGTCACAACACGCACTTCGAAAAGCTTTCTTCATCTGCAGTTGTTAAGGACTCACACATGAACATCAGCCTTTACCCCAAGTATAGAACTGGGATAATTTTGCCCAGTTTTTCCATTTTTACTCAAGATTGGGCCCAGTTGGTGCAGTGCAGGCATGGGGAGAGAGCAATAGAGTTTTACTCAAAAACCCCTCAAAGTATTTAGGATAAATATGAAATATGTAGATCGTAGAGCATAACAAGGAAACTAAGTAATTGAAACTTTTCCTTTTGCTTCAAAGACTATTCTCTTTTCCTATAAGGGATGTATGTTCTGATCCACTCAAAAATCTGCATCTTTGTCATAGGATTGTGACTTAAAACACTCCTAACATTTTCTCCTCCAAAGCTATTATTTGTAAAGGCATATCAGACTCAGCATGAAGTTCCTTAGGTGCTTAAAATATATAATGGTTTCCGCAAGCACCTGAATGCATGAAATCTGATAAGTGTCTCCAATTAGACGTTCCTCAGATTGTGTGAGCTCAGTCATGACTGCTCTGAAAAACAAAAGATGTTGTAAATGGCTGTCCAAGGTCATAAAAGATTTCTTTTCCAACAATAAATTTCACTTGAAGTGAAGGAAACCTTCATTGCCTGCAAGTTTCAACACTGCTCTTAAAATTGTATGTGGGCAGCACCCTGAAGAAAATACAAGTGAAATATGTTGCTTATGCTGAGTTGTAGGGAGTATTCTATAAAATGATTCATTTTCAGGAAATAAGAGATTGAAAGTGGTTATAATTTGCTGCAGAATTCACTGTGTTTTGACTTGCATTAGTCCTACTGCCTTCAGTGTGTCTAGATGCGGATCTACACATTCCCCTTATTGCGGAAACTTCTGAAATAAAAAGGGGGCTGTCCAGACAATGTTTTGAACAATGACAAATTAATTTGGCACAATCCAGGAAAGCCCTGGTTTGTGGCAAATTAATTTGATAGTGGGTTTATTTGGTGCCTTCCAATGACTTCATCACATTAGAGAATTAATCCACTTTAAATCCAAGAAGGTGCAGGATAAACCCACTACTTTTAGTATCTGGACTGCAGTCCAGACACCATTCCCACAGTTTTCCAATCTAAATTAGCCCGGAAAACTGGGAATCCCAAACTCCCACCAAAAGCCCTACCCCCCCCCCTTAAAAATAAAAGTACTTAATTAGCCTCCATTGAAGTGCTGCAGCAGCTCTCCTGGCACATAGAAATGACGCGCCAGGAGAATTGGGGAGGGGGAGGAGGAAAATCTTCCCTCCCCTCTTTCTCTTGGCACATCATTTCTACATGCCAAGAGAGCTGCTGCAGCTCCAATAGAAGCTAGGTTAGTACTTTTATTTTTAAAAGGGGGGGGTAGGGCTTTAGGGGAGGGAGGTACAGTGTCCATCTAGATACCCACCCCAGAAAGCACGCGATTTCTGGGGGGGGGTGTGGACAGGGCCGAAGGAACATCCACATTTTTTAAACGTGGATGCTCCTAGGATAAAGCCCTGTCTGGAAGGGTCGTAGGATGTAGTCAGGGAGATAGAAGTACAGCATACATTGAGAAAAATAGCTTCAGCTGATAACGGAGGCTGTGTTTGAAGAGTTCAGCTGGATTTTTCCTTGTGTGTTATGGAAACATGAGTTGCACATGCAAAATAATTATGGGTCCTGCTTTTAAAAAGCAAATCGATTATGTATTCAACAGTGCATCCTGGTATTTACTTGAGTTCCAGGACTTGGTTCCAGGACTTCCTGTGGTTACCAAAACTCATGGTTGGCCAACTCTAATTCTGTGTGACAGAGCAGTATAATATCCCTTATATAAAATGGCAAAATAAAAATTTACCAGGTGTATTTCTATTATGAGTTTGCAGTGGAGGTAGGGAATGGTTTAATCTGTAGATACAGAATCCCTATATGTAAAGGGACAACTGTATTCAAGTATGCTAAAATGTCTACTTTTTCTATTTTCAGGGTTTATCTGGGGCGAAATCAAACAAATGTGGGATGGTGGCCTTCAGGACTATATCCATGACTGGTGGAACCTGATGGATTTTGTAATGAACTCCTTATATCTCGCAACAATATCATTAAAAATTGTTGCATTTTCAAAGGTAAAAGACAGATGTGTATTCCTGCCATATTATATAACTTTCATTTACTTCGGAGATAGATCTGTTGTTTCTTTTGTTTTTCAAAAGCTTCATGTTGACTTTCCTTGGTGGCCAATATACTACTACAGCCTTTAGGAGAAAAGGAATATTCATAAGAAAAGGTTTATGTTTTATAGAGATCCTACCAGAACGGGACACTTTCAATTTCTGTTACCTTTTCTTGGGGGATAAGATTTTTAGCAATAGCCTGACTCTTCTCATTTTTATTTGAGTTAGCTTTGAATTAAAGTGTATACTCCTCAATCTTTGCTTAAGATAGCCTTGACTGACATAGATGGATAGAGTTGTAGCTGGAGTTAGTAGAGTTGTAGCTGGTGGCATGCATACCAAACTGAATTCAGCATAGCAAGGGGAGTCTTTTTCCAAAATGACCTCAAAGGCTCCTCAGTGTGCAGCTGCAGTGTTAGGAAGCAATTTCTCATGATATTTATGGAAATTATTTGTACATTTGAATTTCCATGATATTTATAGCATGTCCTTTTCATTTTGTATCTGCTTTGAGGAAGACAACCATTTGCAAATGCATCCACTCAAATTTTCTTTGTAATCCTAAATATGTGACCTGGTATTATCTATGCCCTCTAAGTGTTCCAACAGGAGACACAGTCCTGTTTATTCCTCTGTCTCCCCACTTTCTATGTTGCTTTTAAAATATCCCAGATACAATTCCTCCTCCCACTTAGGGAGGGACAGAATCTTGCTCTTCCCAGTAATCTCCACTAGAATCCAATGACTGCTTATCTGTTCTTCCTCAATAACTGTTGATCTTGATCACATTATGATGTTTTTTGACCACATTTGATCTTGATCACATTATGATGTTCCTTGACCACATTTGTCCCAGTTTTCACCTATGAAATGTTGGAGGGTTGCAGAATATGTTTTCTGGATGTTGGCTGGGATACCAACTTTTAGCACAACACCACAAATATGATATCATAGGCATCACTGAAACCTGGTGGGATGACTCCTATCGCTGGAATGTAGACATCAAGGGCTATAACCTCTTTCACAGAAACCGAACAAAGGGGAGAGGAGACGGAGTAGCCTTATATGTCAAAAACTGTTATGCTGCAGAAGAGATGCTTTCAAGCTGGGAAACCAGCTTGAAAGCATCTGATCAAGGGAACTGGGACTCAAAAAGATGTCATTGTAGGCGTCTACTACTAACCTCCAAGCCAGGAGGAAGAACCTGATGAAGTCTTCTGCCAACAGTTGACAAAACAGGCACAGAGAAGAGATGTAGTAGTCATGGGCGATTTCAACTATCCCGATATTTGCTGGAAAACAGACTCAGCCAAGAGTACAAGGTCCAACAAATTCCTCGCTTGCCTTGCAGACAATTTCATGGTCCAGAAGGTAGAAGAGGCAACAAGGGGCTTGGCTACTCTTGATCTCATCCTAACAAATGCGGAGGACCTGATCAATGCGGTTGAAGTGGTCGGATCCTTAGGGGCAAGTGACCATGTGCTCCTGCAATTTGAGGTACAAAGGAAGGCTGAAACTAAGACAAGTCAAACCCGCATTATGGAGAGCTGATTTCTGAAAAATGAAGGAAACACTGAGCAGCATTCTGTGGACACAGATACTAAAAGACAAGGGAGTTACAGATGGATGGGAATTTCTCAAGAGTGAAATACTCAAGGCACAATTGCAAACCGTGCCAACAAAGAGAAAAAATAGGATAAGTGCAAAGAAGCCAGAATGGATGTCCAAAGAACTTCTAACTGTGCTAAAGCACAAAAGAGACATGCACAAGAAGTGGAAAAAGGGAGAAATAACCAAAGAAGAATTCAAACAAATAGCCAACACCTGTAGGGAAAAGGTCCGCAAGGCTAAAGCACAAAACGAGCTCAGGCTTGCCAGGAACATTAAAAACAATAAAAAGGTCTTCTTTTCTTATGTCAGTAGAAAAAGGAAAAACAAGGAGGCGATAGAGGAGGAGATGGGGCAATGCTGACAGGCGGTAGGGAAAAGGCAGAACTAAATGCCTTCTTTGCCTCGGTCTTCTCACTAAAAGAAAGTCATCTTCAACCTCAGCAAGATAGAGTGGATGAGGGATTAGAGGACATCCAACCCCAAATTGGGAAACAAGTCGTCCAGGAATACCTGGCACTCTAAATGAGTTCAAGTCCCCAGGGCCAGATCAACTACACCCAAGAGTATTGAAAGAACCAGCGGAAATCATTTCGGAACCATTGGCAATCATTTTTGAGAGTTCTTAGAGAACGGGAGAAATTCCAGCAGATTGGAGGAGGGCTCAGCGTTTCCTTCATTTTTTGGAAATTGGCTCTCCTAAAGTCCAAAATGCGGGTTTGACTTGTCTTAGTTTTGGCCTTCCTTTGTACCTCAAATTGCAGGAGCACATGGTCACTTGCCCCTAAGGATCCGACCACTTCGACCGCATCGATCAGGTCCTCCGCATTTGTTAGGATGAGATCAAGAGTAGCCAATCCCCTTGTTGCCTCTTCTACCTTCTGGACCATGAAATTGTCTGCAAGGCAAGCGAGGAATTTGTTGGACTTTGTACTCTTGGCCAAGTTTGTTTTCCAGCAAATATCGGGATAGTTGAAATCGCCCATGACTACTACTTCTCT